CCTAAACCCTGAACCCCACACCCTACACCCTAAACCCTAAACCCTAAACCCTAAACCCTAAACCCTGAACCCTGAACCCTGAACCCTAAACCCTAAACCCTAAACCCTGAACCCTAAAGCCACCAGGCTTCCGGCTCCAGGGCTTGAGTTCAGGCCCTTAAGGCTTATTATTATATTATTATATTATGATTATGTTATATTATTATTTTATTAATATATTATTATATTATTATTGTTTCTATTATTATTATCCTTACGGCTCCAGGGTTCCCAGTCCTTGGCTTAGGGCTCACCGGTTCTGCACAGCGAGACCTTAGGGCCTGCAGGGTGTAGGGTTTAGGGTTCAGGGTTCAGGGTTTAGGGTTCAGGGTTTAGGGTTTAGGGTTTAGAGTTTTGGGTTTAGGGTTCATGGAGTAAGGCTATACTCTACATGTATAGAACCACACGTTGAGCGCCAACCTTATCTTGTGTTTGATGTGATACAGGCCTCAGAAGACGGTTTGGATCTCTGTCATGGCACTGCCGGATGCCAATTATGCCAATTATGCTAATTTGCGCCTGCGCCCCTTTGCCTCAAGGTGGTGCAAGAACGGGAGATCGTAGCACGCCCTGTTCTTGTAAGACACTGCCAGAGAACGGGTCATGAACCTTTCATTAGCCAGACCCTGAAGCGCTGAAACCCAACGCATTAACCTATTGAAGGCCTGAACCCCCCAGCTAAGAAGCCCTAAACCCACCCAACATTCCTAAACCCTGCAGACTACGCCCTTCAAGCCTGAACCCTAAACACCTATAAGCCCTGTGCCCTGAACCTTCAACCCTTAAAACCTAAGCCCTAAACCCTAAACCTTCAACCCCTAAAACTTAAACCCTAAACCCGCTAAACCCTCAACCCTTAAAGCCTAAGCCCTAAAACGTCATAATACCTACACCTCGACCTTGGCGTTTCCTCAGGAGGAGCGTGTTGTCGAGGCCGCCCTGCGAGGGCTCAAAGTGCGAGCCTATGGAGATATGAGAAAATAAGTCAGGGTTTATAGGGCATAGGGCTCAGGGCTCAGGGTTTGGGGTTTGGGGTTTGGGGTTGGGAATGAGGGTGTCGGCGTTTAGGGTTGGGTTCATGGGCCTGAATAGCAATAGTATTCACTATGGTGCCCTGATACTTGCAGGATGAAGCGCCAGAATGCCCTCATCGCGTCAAATCCCTTGATGTTGGTTGAGGATATAGGGTTGCAGTGTACATGTAGAGGTTTAGCGGTTGAGGGTTTCGAGCTTGAGGAACTAGGGCTGAGAGTTTGCAACTCGTAGGATTGCGGTTGTGGAGTTTGGAGGGCTAGGTAGTGTTCGCGGAGAAGACTTTTACAAAGCATCGTTTATACATGTATATATTTTATTCAGATTGCATAAGTCCTGAATTCCGTCCCATAACGTTTTTATTTTCATGGGAAGGCCGAAAATGTTCTCGGTCGTCAAAGTTTTGGCGTCCAGGAGGGGGTTTCGGTTTCGGGTACAGGGTACTTTTGGGGTCCCCATCTTTCTGAAAGGGTTCATGAAACTTACATGCATGTTGAGCCCATCTTGAACCCTTTAACCCTAAACCGTAGATCCAATGCCCTATCTGAACCCTAAACCCTAACACCCTGAACCCCAAAACCCTGCACCCCCAAAAGCTCTAAACCGTAAGCCAACTCCCTAAGCCTTGATCCGACAATTCAGACCCTAAACCCTAAACCCTAAACGACAATTCAGGTCTTAGTCTCCCAGGGTGGGCTGCCGTGGCCTCAGCGTTTCTGCAGCCTCCGGGTTTCGGCCTTTCGGGTTCAGGATTTTAGGGTTTTAGGGTTTAGGGTTTAGGGGCTTCAGGCTTTTGTGTGCAGTTTTGGCTTCATAGGGTTGGGCTCACATGTAACCCTAAACCCTAAACCCTAAACCCTAAGGCATCATGACTTCAGGATGTGTGGCTTTGGGGCTTCAGGCTTGGAGCTCGGTGGGCCTGCAGACTGCCCCGAGCTCCCGTCAAAGTTGTTTAGGGTTTAGGGTTTAGGGTTTTTCGGGTGTAGGAGTGGCTCCGCTAAGACCCAGTCAACCCCCAAGCCCGGAAACCTAATATAGGGGCTTTAAATGATTACCAATACCATTTTGGGGTTCCACTATAATGGCCCTCAAAGCCCTATTCTAATTATTAAGACGCCTATATTCGACACTACCCAAGAGAACACAATGGCCTCCGGCAGTAGAGCTTTTGCCGCGTTAGGTGTGTAGTGAGTTTGGGGTTTGGAATTTATTTGTTCTGGGTTTTCGGGGCTCAGGGTGTTTCTGGGTTTCAGTGGCTGGGGCTTTGGATTCTTGAGGGCACCGGCTGGCGCGTTAAGTGAAGCTTCCCGATGAAATTTGGCCATGTGCGAGAACCCCTGCCACTAGTAGAACGAAACCTTAACTACTCTCAACACCTCTGTTCAACTGTCTGGGGTGCAAACTACTTACGGGTCCTACCTTGGTGCGACCTAGGACCCTCAAATCATTCAACAACACCCTGTCAGCCACGCCCCAGGTTGGATTCTGGCCCCTTGAACACGCCTGCACCCTGTCGCTTTTGATCTCAGCCTAGAGCCCTTAAATCTTCAATCTACAACCCTCAAAGACCATGGTCTAAGCCCAATACACTCTGAACCCCTTGATGGCCTAAACTCTACACCCTGCACGTTAGACCCTACATTCCCAAACCCCAAACCTTAAGCTCAACCGCAAACCCTATAAGCCCTTAACATCAGAACCCTAATCCCTAAACCATAAAACCGAACAGCCCTAGCCTTCAGTGAGGCGCCGCACGAGATTGGTACCGGCCACGAAAAAGGTGGGTGGCAAACACTCGTTCGATGGATTCTTGAGGGCTTGGGTGGCTTAAAATTTAGAGTTCAGGGCGTGGGTTCTACTACAATGGCCTACATAGCTACCAACTTTTATTCCTTCGAGAGCTTAAAGTCTAAATGTCAAAAGACATTAAAACTCAACCCCCCACCCCCCCCCAACCTATTTCAGATTTAAAGTCCCCTATCTTCGGGAAAGGATTTGGGCTGCAAGGAATAGGCCTGGTGGTTCCAGCTTCACAACTTCGTTTTGCTTGAGGAGGCTACGAGCCAGGATAACGAAACGCTAGGACAGAGCGCACTTGTGCTTGAGATGTTTTGTTTGTTCAGTTATTTACTTTGAAAGAGGTGTCAGTGTTTAGGGCACTCGCTTCCGAACATACTCTTGACCTCTTCGCGAGGACAATCAGAAACCACTCCGACACAAAAAAGATCCAGTGTGGCCTCACAGTTTGTGAACCTGTCACGTGTCAACATCTGTAGTGACTAAACCCTAAACCCTAAACCCTAAACCGTACACTGTAGTGTCCCTCTCTGTTTCTCTACGGGTAACGCCATTTCATGACCGTAGGACTTCTGTACCGCCAGGTTCAAAACTTGGGTTTAGGGTTTAGGATTTATGGGTTTATGGGTTTACGGTTTAGGGTTTAGGGTTTATGGGTTTATGGGTTTATGGGTTTACGGTTTAGGGTTTAGGGTTTAGGATTTATGGGTTTATGGGTTTACGGTTTAGGGTTTAGGGTTTAGGATTTATGGGTTTAGGGTTTAGGGTTGTTGCTTTGTCCTGGTCCCAACGTCGGCTCAAGGCCTCGCGGTGTTCACTCCCCCCGTGCGCAGTGTGGGCTTTACAGCTTGGGCTTGTTAGTTGAGGCTTTCGTCGACCCATGTTCCTAGTTATTTTCTCAAACCATCTTAAACCAACAGATCAAGATAGCTTTAGACCGGCACCCCAAATATCAAACACCCCCACCTTATAAACCCTAAGCCCGAATCTTTACACGCCCTAAACCCTAAACCCCTATATAAACCCTAAACCCTAAGCATTACACAAGAAGCCTGAAGGTGGCACCACTCTTGGTCCATCCCTCTGAGCTCCTCCGCGACTACGCTTGCGAGGCCCCGGTCTGCTTCTAAAGCGAGGGTTTAGGGTTCATGGGGTTTATATACAGGGCTTGTAGGGTCTATAGGGTTTAGGGTTTAGGGTTTAGCGTTTGGTGTATTCGGGTGTAGGGCTTAGGGTTTGGTGTATTCGGGTTTAAAGTTTAGTGTATTTAGGGTTCAGGGCTTTGTGCATTTAAGGTTTTAGGGTTTAGGCTTACATAGTGCAGATGCTGGTAGCAGTGACGATCGCCATGTATAATGGGGATCACGGAGTTTCCTCAAAGGGATCCATAGGCGTTTACATGCGAGCTAGTAGAGTTGTAAACCGTACCGGTACCATAGTGAAAGGTACTTATCGACCCCCAGAAGGGTGCTGATACCTGTCTTACTAAGTTCCCTGATCCTCCGAGTAGGGTACAGAGTTTTAGTGAAATTGGGATTTCGGGGGGCGATTTCCTGACAAGTTTAGGACATGGGAGAACGGCTCATCAGGGGTTTAGGGATCTAGAGTCTATCCATAGTGCACAGCATGATTCGAGGCTTTCGGGATCGGGGCGTGGCGCGGACTTTGGAGGTTGGAAGGTTGTGGTAAAGCTTCCAACAGGTAGCTCCCCTAGACTGAACCCGAAGCCCTAAACCCTATATCTTGAACTAAACCCCAAAACCATAGTCCCGGACCGGAATGTTTCCTTAGTTGGTTCAGACAAGGTAGGAACCTCCATGCTGGGGTCCGCACTATGAGGATCCTACTATGTAGAGTCCCCTGTGCTAATGATCCTACTCACGATGATCATCAAGATCTTAGTACTACTTAAAGTCACTTCCAGGAAGCACCCTACAGTTTAGAGTCTATATCAGATACTATTAGGGTTTCGGGTTTCCCGAAGTGTAGAGTCTGTATGAGGGTCCCATTGAAAAGTGAGCTTATTGGGGTTGCTTTTCTCTGATCATGCTTTCCACACTCGGTTGCTCGAAGTTAGTTTCTGGATGGTTTCCGATTTCCATACCTGAACCCTAAACCTTGGACTCTAAGCTTACGCCATCAAAGCCTTGGCTTTTAACCCCCCCCCCCCCAGAGACGCCAAACCCACTTAATGTGAAGGAATATGCTTTGAATCATAACAGGATTCCTAATAGAATAGAATCGTCCGTAATCACCTGGCCCACCGCAGTTAGAGATGAACCATGAGCGGGTGCTGCATGGTTGCCCGTCCTGAGTTCCAAGACTCAAACTCTAAGCCCAGAATTCCTAAACCCAAGATGTTAAATTCCAAGACTTAGCTGTCCGTAGCCAAACACCGCAACCCGGCGCCTGAAAACATGTTATTGGAATGAGCGATTTGCGACGAGGATTGAGGCAGCGTTCAATTCACAGTTCAGGTGTATAGGTTTACTGTCGGGGCAGGGTTTTGGAACCATACCTCAGGTAAAATCGTCCCCAGAAGCCCCCCCAAATCCCCACGCGCAGAACCTCGGCGCCTCTGATTTTGTAATATCCAAATTGGTTGTAGAGGTCTGGAACATCAAGCATGATATTTCCTTGTCGCCTCACACGTACACACAGTATTTTTTATCCACCGCAATGTGGGGGGTCAGACTCATCAATCATACTAGTCCCTTGTTAGTGCCGAAACATATTAGTATACCCCCCCCAAAACACCTATTCTGATTGTCAAGGATCCTACTAGTATACCCCAAACAGCTGCAATGATCATCAAGGCTTCTACATTGTGCTATGTCATCAATCTCCCAGGTAGTCCAGGCTATGTCTTCGCAGCTATCTGACTTGGACCAGTACGTCACTCGCCAGAAGAAGTCGAGCTAAAAGCTGGGGGTAGTGTCTGGGGTTCAGAGCTTATAATGTTGGGTTTAGGGTAGAGGTTTGTGGTCTAGTTCTTGCTGCATATCACAGCTACTGATGATCTTAGCTTGTAAGCCATGCAAGTCATGCATTATTTTTGCTGCCAAGTAGTATTGGGGCGGAATGATATTGGCGGAGGACATCTTGGTGTCCGTCTTCGGGTAGACTCTGGTGACATTCTGGGCATTGCTATCAGTGCACTGGGTGTGCTGCGGGTGAAACGAGCTTCGGGCTGGGTGTGGTGCCTGTCTTCTCTGTTGTAACTTTTCCACTCGTCAAACGTATTGACTTTACGGCCACGTTGTGATTACTAGTCTTGCATGGGTCGGCACCTTGTTTCTTGTAGTGCGTGCTGTGCTTGCCTAGGTATGCTCTGATCTGATATGGTGTGATGTGATATTGTATGACATGATATGAAATGATATGATACGGTATTATAGGTTAGGACGTTCTAGGCTGGGCTGGGCTGGGCTGGGCTGGGCTAGGATACGATAGGATAGGAGAGCAGAAGCTAGCTTATGTAACGATAGCATATGATGTGTCGCGATACGTTATCACACGATACAATGTGATATTTTGCTGGAACGTCATGACAACATATGGTATGATCAGATAATACACCAAATTATCAGATAATACAGGGAACATAGTGATATCTTTCGTTTTGGTGTAATACCATGCGGTCTGTTATCACGCGATATGACATGGGAGGACAAGATCTGCCATGATTATGATACGGTGTGACGGTCAAGGTGAGGCTGTGATTGCGGGTGTTGGCCTGATGAACTTGATTTTGGACGTTACTCGACCGGTGATAGTTTCTGATGGCGTTGGTGACGATGTTGACCAGGCCTGTGAGTGGGCTGTCATCAGCTTCAGGGTCTGTAAATGGGGCTCGTCATGTTGCGTTCATCTTCGGTTTCTGTCATTCTATCAAGATCTTGAGGTCTTTCTGCTTCCAGCAGTGCAAGCATACCTGTCTCTCGGCTGTCGATAGCACGAGGGGGGCGCAGGATTGGCGGGGTCGCCTAGGCACGGCCGTCGATGCACGCGCCTTCTGTCAGCCGAAAGCTTAAACCGTAGATCTCAGATCCAACAACCCTAACCAGCCCTCAACACTGACCGACAAGTCCGCATCCTTTGCATCCCACCTTGGGCTTTTTCTAGATTCCGGATCTCAGATCTCTACAGCAGCGATACACAACATAAGAGCCTTGATGATTAGAATGGGGTTTGCAATTCATTATGATACGGACAACTCGGTTAGGCAACCCTACGGAATGAGAATGCTGCCTGTTCAGGCCTCTGTGTTTCCTGCCCCGTGTCTTGGGTGCCACAAGCATTAAATGAGCTTGAGATTTCCCGTCCGGGGCCTAGATGGGGCTTCTTGCGCTGGCGGCCCCTAAACCCCAAACCCATAAACCCCATAATGTAGGGGCCTAGATAACTACCAATACTATTTTGGGGGCTCCTTATTATAATCATAGTATAATATACCCCAAAGCCCTACTCGAATCATAAAATAAGGCCCCTACATTACCACTAAACCCCTAAACTTTCAACTGCCCGGAGCCCGAAACCCGAAACACGAACCCAAAGCGCGAACATCTCAAAGCCACAGAGCACTAGCCCTAAACTCTAAGCGCTTCTGACCCTGAAGCCCGAAGCCCGAACCCCTCATATGATTGATGTGAATGCCAGTAGTGCTGCTCGTACCATAACTGTTGTTGCTATCGCTATTGTGGCGTATTGTGACTGTTCTTGTTATTGCTATTGCTCTTATATAGTGCCGCTCCTATCATCAGTATTGTTAACTCTATGATGGGCGGTAGGGCAGCCGTTAATACTTTCTGTCTGGATAGTACTATTTTTGATCTTATACAGGCATTATTATCCAGCTTATCACCTTTATTGCTCTTACTACGGCTTTGATTTCCAGTCATTTCTGTCATGTTTGCTGTGTTCATTATTCTGTGTACGATTGCCGTTGCTTTGCATTGCTACCAATGTTTGTCACGATTGTTGCATCAACCCTAAACCCAGAACCCTAAACGCTGTCCTTTCAGGCTCCCTGAGTGTGGCTTGAGCAACATCCCGGGCGGCCTCGCCACGCCATTGGGCCGACTTCGCTTCAAGACCTCGGCTTATTGTTGAAGCGTGGGCGGGTGGTTTAAATGGAGGTTTAGTTCATTGAGCACAATATTTCCTGACAGTTCCAGTATAAGTAGACGTGGCGGTAGAAAGATCAAAGCCGCACTAAATTTCATTTAGTCAGGCTTGCATGTGAGGGTTTTGGATTCGGGAGACTAGGATTCTGTGTTTTGGAGGCTAGGCGAGGTGTTCGGTCTCTCGGGTTCGGGGTTGGTACATCATGGGGCTCTTAAGCTTGCAAGCTTAGGTCTTTTAGTTTGGGGGCTTGGGCTGTTATTCGTGTTTAGGGTCTGTGGCATTGCTTTGGGCGTTCGGGATTCCAGCGGGCTCTGTGTTTTCGAAATTTTGAGGGTTGTTCACAGTTTAGGATTAATTCCCCCCCCTCCCGTACTTCGAGGATGGTCCGCTAGACCCCCGAATTTTGAAGAGACCGAACCCCTATCCTCTGGGCCACAAATCCACAAATCGCTATAAGCGGGAAGAACCGAAGAATCGGATCTCGTAGGGGTGCAACATGTACCCCCAGCATCCAGTATCCCCAAACCCTAATCTGACACAAACCTACAGTTTAGGCTTCAGCGCTTAGAGTTTAGGTTCAGGGAGTATCCCCAAACCCTACAGGGTTTAGGGTTTAGGGTAGTCTTCTTATGAAGGTCTCTAGATGATCAGCCCGAACTCTGGCTCGAAGCATCTCACGAGCATAGAATCGACGGGTTGAAGGCACCTGCACCCTAAAGCGGCTCAAGGTTCAGGGTTTAGGATATGTGGGGTCTAGGGCCTAGGGGTTGCTAAGGGTTTCGGGTTCAGGGTTTAGGATATCTTCAGGGTCCAGATGTGATTGGGATTGGGATACATGTGAGGTCTTGGGGGTATTTAGGGTGTACGGTGTAGGATTTGGTATTCAGGGGTCCAGGGTTTGCTTAGCGTGTAGAGTTGAAGATATATTCGCCAGGGCCGGGTTCATTGAGTGCGAAGGTTTAGAATGGATTTGGGGCTTGATGTTTATATACATAGGATGCACTTGAGGCGTAGAATTTGGAGTTACTGGGTCGAGGGTCCTCAATATATCTGAGGATTTAGGATTCGGGCCCAAAAAGACCCCTGCAAGTTTATGATGTAACGAGAGTTCCTGGTCTTTCCAGGAGTGTCGTCCTCCGCCGCGCGGATATGCTCCACGATGCCCTGGTGGGGGTATAGGGTGCAGAAGCCGATGGTCTAGGGCTTCGGGGTTTAGGGTTGACGTCTTACGGTGTTCAGGGTGTATCAAGTGAAGCGTGTTAAGTTGCAGGGTTTAGGGGTTTTGGGGTTGCGGGGCTTGGGGATTAAGCTTTGGGCTTGGTGTTCTCCCGACATGGTAGCTACTTGTCTTTCTGTGCGGCTTGTTCAGCCGATAACCTCCAAACCCTCAACCCCAAACCTAACTCTCTAAGCCTCTAACCCGGGAGGTGAACCAGCAGCCGCTCCCCAGCGACGAGGACGAAGGTGACCGAGAGACCCTGGAACTGAACCCCGGGTGCAACGAAGGTTCAGGGGTTTTGGTTTTTGGTTTAGAGGTTTAGGGTTTAGGGTGTTTTGGTTTAGGGCTTGGGGGGGTTAGGGTTCCGGGTTTGCGGTTTCGGGTGTGTGAAACAGAAATCAAGAAAGTTCACTAAGGCAGGTGCTTGAGATAATTAGGGAGTAGGGTGCGCCATATATATAGAGATCGCAGTCGCTTTTAATCGTTTTTCATAGTCCCTATATGCCTAAAAACTGAAAGTGTGTTTCATGACAGAAATACAAGAATCCAAACCCGCATTCCAGTTATTACGGCCTCGACACTAGTGCTTCGGCGAAGGGTGTTGGGGCTTTGGGGTACAAGGTTTACGGCTGCAAAATATTAAACTTTTACGGACGGTTTAGGGTTTCGGGGTTTACATATTAGCAATTGCTTTACCGATGAGATCATGGGCGTTGGATTTCTCGGCTCTTCTGATGGGTTAGGACAATGTGGCTGTGCATGTGACTGGGCTTGTGCGCTGGGCTTGGGATTTTGGTTGAGTTTGCAAGGTTTAGGGTTTTAGGTTGTAGAGTTTCGAATTATCGATTGGTTTAGAGCTTCAGGGCTTTGTACGCAAGATTTTGGGTTGCAGGTCCTAGCCATTCCTAACCCTAAGCCCTAAGCCCTAACTGTTTTGGTGGTAGGATTCAGAGCGTTACCATTCGGGCTGGAAAGCCGCAGCTCTGGACCTTGAAGCGTCATAGTCTCGCAGGGCCCTTGATGCTCTATAGAGCAGCTAAATGTTGTTACCCTTTAGAGGAGCCCTTTACCGGAATCTTCAAAGGAGTATTCGCCTATCGGTTTCGGGTCTGGCACTGGCTTATCCCACTAGTTAGAGCAGCTAAATTCCAAAGCTGGCCAAGCAGCGAAGCGCGCAAGCCTTACATATCGTCAAGATCTTGTCTGTGTGTGTGTGTGTGTGTGTGTGTGTGTTTGTGTGTGTGTGTGTGTGTTTGTGTGTGTGTTTGTGTGTTTGTGTGTGTGTGTGTGTGTGTGTGTTTGTGTGTGTGTGTGTGTTTGTGTGTGTGTGTGTGTGTTTGTGTGTGTGTGTGTGTTTTTGTGTGTGTGTGTTTGTGTGTGTTTG